GTCTGGGTAATTTAAAAACATCTCTTCGGCATTGTGAAAATTTAGGGATGACCACAACCATCTATGATTAATGCACACGCAAGTCACTGCATAAGTCAGTATCATCTGAATGCATATTCATGAGGATGTCTCAGATGCCTCAACCACAGTTACATGGTGGAGTGCAAAAAGTGGGCCTCTGCACTCAGACCTGAGCTTAAATCCCACCCCTGCCACCCGCTGGGTGACTGTGTTAAGTTACTCTCCATCTTTGAGCCCATTTCTTCCTTAGTCCAATGGGGATGGCAAATCTTACTTCGCAGGGTTAGGGTAAGGGTTACATGATGTAATTGTGTAGAGCAGTGCCAGGCACAGACTGAGGGATAGCAGACCTCTGTTTGATGGAAGCAACTCTTATTGTTCAGTCTCCACAGCTACCTATTTACCCAGAGAAAACTACTTCTGCTCTGAATCCCAGATTTCTCTTCTTTCAAATGGAATCTTAGTTCCTTCTCCAGAGTTTGACAGATGCAATGACAAAACACACACTCCACCCCCCACCCTTCCCAAGCACCTGGAAGCTCCTAGGTGTTTGACAAATGGTAACGCCTTTCTTCTCCAAAATATTGACCCATTGCAAATAATTACAGAATCAGTAATAAAATCAAAATTGTGTTCATCCCATGATCTTTCCCTCACTCTCTCAAGCAGACAGACAGTCGGACACACACACTCTGCATTCCCACCTTGTTTTTCCCACCTTTATCATCAGTTAACTGAAAAGCACAAGAACCTTTGACAGCTTCAAAAAGGAACAGCAACTTCACTTCAAAATCATCAGCATTTATTTTCGTTCCTCACACCAGGTGCATGGGTCCTTATCTGAACAGCTGTGCGTTCACCTCTCTCCCCACTGCTGCTGTCCCCACCCTGCCCAGGTCCCTCTGCTCAGCCTCAGCCACTGCACATCACCCCAGCTGCTCCTCCCCTCGCTGTGGCCCCCCTCTCTCCAGTCCCTCTCCCCCACCTCAAACGCTCCTTCTCTGCATTTTGGAGTTCTTCTCAGTGGACACGTGATCAGAGAAGTGCTCTCAAGCGCCTAATTCCCAGCACAAGTGATTGCCACCTGGTTTGTGCTGCTGAAGAGATCAGGAAAGAGGATTTATGTGTATTGAGTCCATATATATGTTAATATTTTACTCTTTCTAATCACCTTCTTGGGGAGGTATCGCCATTCTATTTTAGGTGAGGAGACTGAGGGCCCATTGCTTGCCTGGTTAAACAAATTTTTATCGAACATCAATTACCAGGAACTGAGAATATGGCAGCAAATAGCAGACACAGCCCCATCTTCGTGGCACTTACGGGACCTGATGTGGGATGGATTCTGGAGTCAGGAAGGAAACAGATCATGGACGATGTGAAGGGGATGCGAGGAGAGGGTGGAGGAGGGGTGTACGCTGTCTCGGAGGTTAGGGAAGGCACCCTGAAAAAGGGACATTTCAGCCAAGACCCGAGGGCACAGAGAGGTCCCCTGAGAGTAGTAAAGGCAGACGTGGGATCTAAAGGTGGGTGAATTCGGTTCTACTGTGCCTCATGGCCTCAGCATATATATGTCTATGTAATTGTATTTTATTGATAGCTTGTGATCTACAGCTCTTTCTCCAGGATAGATTGTAGTTCCTTGTGAACAGCAACCTTGTCTCCCAGACACCTACTACATAGTACAAATAATAAGCCTAAGTAGATGTTCATTTAATTTTTCAATATATGTATCTATCTGTACTTGCCTATATTTAGTAATATTCTAGAGGTGCAAAAGTACCTAAATTCTTCCGTGTATATTGTTATTTAACCAATGTGTTTTCTAAGAGTCTCTGAGCACCTGGCTACTCCCCTGCTCAAGCTCCTTTATTCAGGCGTTTCCTGTGTTACAGGCGTGGGTGGGTGATCCAGGGTCAGCATGCAGGAGAGGCATCAGTTCTGAAGCAGGTGGGCACGGACACAGCTCATTCATCTAACAGAAACGACATTAAATGTACCCTCCCCAATGCTGCATGGTACAGGGCCCATTCCAGCCTGCTTCCCAGGCCATCCTTGATGAGGAAAGAGGAGCTGCTACCCTATGCCAGGCTCTGTGCAGAGGGTGAGGGATACATGGTGAAAGCACATGTAGTGGTTGAATGAGTGTTTCTTTTTTCTGACACTCACCAGCTCTCAGTGGAGTAGGGCTCACAGATGTGCCCACAGTCCATGCACACACACAGAGTACATTCCAGCACATTGCCTGCAAGACTCCAGGTGGGCACAAGTGGAGGGCGTGGCTAGGTTCGCAGTGGGTTGGGCAGGAGTGCAGGTCTGCCAGGCAGGCGGAAGTCCTCTTGCCTGATCGGGAAAATGAATGGCAATAGCCAAGGCAAGAGGGCAGGATGTGGTAGGAGCAGGCCCCAGGCAAGGGTCTCAGCCTAGGCAGAGGCCCAGATAAAGAGAATGGGAGGCGCATTTAGGGCCTGTAAAAGCCCACAAGAGTCAAGCTGGTGGTAGGTGTTTGAAAGGCAAGGTGCTTAACTGCATGTCAGAACCGTTGGTGTAGTGTTCATTTCCTTTAAGGAATGTCTTCCCTTCTGCTTTTCTTTTAAGTATATTTTATGGATTATGCTACTACAGTTGCCCCATTTTTTTCTCCCCTTTATCCCCCTGCACCCTGCACCTCCTCTCCCACCAGCGTTGCCCCCCGCCCCCGCACTTAGTTCATGTCCGTGGGTCGTTACATATAGGTTTTTGGCTTCTCCATTTCCTATACTCTTCTTAACCTCTCCCTGTCTATTTTGTGCCTACCAATTATGCTTCTTGTTCCCTGGACCTTTTCCCCCATTCACCTCCTCTCCCTCCCCACTGTTAACCCTCCATGTGATCTCCATTTCTGTGATTCTGTTCCTGTTCGAGCTTAGCTTGTTTGATTTTTAGGTTCAGTTGTTGATAGTTGTCAGTTTGTTGTCATTTTACTGTTCACAGTTTTGATCTTCTTTTTCTTAGATAAGTCCCTTTAACATTTCACATAATAAGGACTTGGTGACGATGAACTCCTTTAACGTGACCTTATCTGGGAAGCACTTTGTCTGCCCTTCCATTCTAAATGACAGCTTTTCTGGATAGAGTAATCTTGGATGTAGGTCTTTGCCTTTCATGGCTTGGAAATACTTCTTTCCAGCCCCTTCTTGCTTGCAAGTTTTCTTTTGAGAAATCAGCTGATAGTCTTATGGGCACTCCTTTGTAGGTAACTGTCTCTTTTTCTCTTGCAGCGTTTAAGGTTCTCTCCTTATCTTTAATCTTGGGTAACTCAACTATCATGTGTCTTGGTGTGTTCCTCCTTGGGTCCAATTTCTTTGGGACTCTCTAGGCTTCCTGGACTTCCTGGAAGTCTATTTCCTTAGCCAGAATGGGGAAGTTTTCCTTCATTATTTTTTCAAATAAGTTTTCAATTTCTTGCTCTTCCTCTTCTCCTTCTCGCACCCCTATGATTTAGATCTTGGAATGTTTAAAGTTGTCCCAGAGGTTCCACAGCCTCTCCTCATTTTTTTTAATTCTTGTTTCTTCATTCTGTTCTGGTTGAATGTTTATTTCTTCCTCCTGTTCCAGTTGTTGATTTGAGTCCCCGTTTCCTTCCCTTCATTGTTGGTTCCCTGTATATTTTTCTTTATTTCACTTTGCATAACCTTCCCTTTTTCCTCCATTTTGTGACCATACTCAACCATTTCTGTGAGCATCCTGATTACCAGTGTTTTGAATTCTGCATCTGATAGGTTGGCTATCTCCTTATCGCTTAATTCTGTTTCTGGAGTTTTGATCTGTTCTTTCATTCAGGCCATATTTCTTTGTCTCAGCGCACCTGTTAGTTGTAAGGGTGGAGCCTTAGGTATTCACCAGAGCAGGTGGGGCAAGCCACTTCATTGCGCTGCGGTGCTGCATGTGGGGGAGTCAAAGGGGGAACAATGCTGCTTGCTTTTCTCTTGCTCCACCGTCATTCACTTCCCTTGCTTCCCACAAATGAATTGTGCCCTTTCAGGTGCCGATTTCCAGGTAGATGGGCTTGTGTACGTTCTAGGATCCTGTGGGCCCCTCCAATGGACTCTCCTATGAGACTGGCAGTTTCTCCCACTTCCACAACCCCCCCCAGGTTTTTACAGCCAGAGGTTTCGAGGCTTTGTTTCCCATGCTGGAACCCTGGGTTGCGTGATCTCTCTCGCTCCCCGGTTGTTCCTCCCTGCTTATCCACATGCCAATGTGGGATATCTCAGTCTGCCAGCCACTGCCTTCCCTACCCCAGTCCACCATCTGCCACGTTGTCAAGAGCCCTCACCGCCCCCACTTCCAGATTCCCATCTCTGCCCCTCCTACCAGTCTGGATGAGTGTTTATTTAACTCCTTGGTTTATTTAACAGCTCAATTCTGGCATTTCTCGTTTTTTGTTTTTAAATTAGTTCTTATCCTTCTTTTGGTTGTGCAATGAGGCAACATTTATCTTCCTGCACCTCCATCTTAGCTGGAAGCCCCTCCTGCTTTTCTTATACCATCTTTGATAGAAACTTAGGTAAAGAGAAGTTATTCTCTAAGAAACACAGCAGTCCTAATCCAATGATCCTACTGTCTTCAAGGGATGATTGGTTCTAGTTGGAGAGACAGCTGGAAGTGGTGGGACCTGGGGGAAACTGGAGAGCACAGTCTCCATCTGAAGAGGAGAGCCACTTAACTCCAGCTGCCCAGGGGCTTCAGATCTTGCAATATTTCAGAAAAAGCAAGCAACCAGGGCTTTCGGCAAGTTAGCCATGTTTTTAAACATTGCTTTGATTTGAAAAAAAAACAAACAAAGAAGACATATGCAAGCTCAGCCTTCTTCATGGGCCATGCTTGAAAGCTCTCGTTTAAAGACTCCAGAGGTCACAAGGGTATTGTCAGAATCTCTCAACAGGTCATCTCTGCTGTGACTTTTCCCTAACCATCCTTCTCCCCCTGCTTTCCAGAAAGAAATGACGAGCAGGATGTGTCACTAACGCCCCATATTACCCTTCGAAGAAAGAGGAATGCTGTTTGCTCCTGGAGTCCCAGGTGGGCAGGAGGGAGATCTCACGGGCTGAAACAGTGCACGGACTTCCAGAAGCAGGAGAACTGGAGACATAGGGTGATTCCTGAGAGATGTCCCCCATCCCTTCCTGTGCTCTTAACCCTGAGTGCTGCTAGCCGTGACCTGTGGACCCGGCCGACCACCTCATGAGAGAAGGACCACCCCTGCACTCCTGGCTCTGCAGGAAGCCTCCTGAGTGTGTGGCAGTTCTGCCCGGGACCTGCGCCCAAGCTGTGCTGAAATTCAGGTTGTGAGACCGAGACACTGTTTGTACTTTTCCACCTATCCACCTTGTCCACTGGCCGACTGACTGTTCTGTATGTGTTTTCCAAGTTCTGAGTGCATTTGGATCTCTGCATGCACAGCAAGTTTTTCTACAGCAAGCCTTCCCTTCAGGTCCCTGAGAACTCCCACCCTGATCCTGTGGCCTTACTGTGCTCAGGACTGCAGAGACGGGAGAGACCTGAGGCCCCACCGCAGCACTGGCACCATTTTCCTAATGGGCAGTTTTATCAGGGACACTCCAAGGGACGGCTGGTCTCTGCCCCCAACAGGGTCTACACACTTTAATTACAGGGAAGAGGCTGGTTTCTAGCAAAATGCTACCAAGTTACCAGTTCACCCTGAATGTTTTTTTATAACCACACCATTTCTTGTTTCTTTCATTCAAGATATTTTTCCTGTTTCCCAGGAGAGAAATAAAGGGAGTTCTAAATGACTAAGGATGATCAGCAGAAGCCCTGAGCCAGATTAGTGCAGTGTTTGTTCTTTACTAGGGGGTAGGGAGCCATGGGTGTCTCTGCGTAATACTAAAATTTCAGTGAAAAAATAATTACAATTGGTTATTGGTGCAAGTAGCTCAGACTCTCTGAGCATTGCCTTGTAACCTTCCTAGCTGGCCTTCTGAGCTTTTAAATCCAGCCAATGTTTTCTTCCTCTTCCTCCACACTTTTCCCTCCTCTGCCATATTATATTATGGCATGAAATTACTTTCTGCTGCAATGAATGTGCCACAGTTGCCAAGGTAACCGTGGAGCTGGAGCTCACTTCCTTCTTCCATGCTTCTCAAATTTTGTGCTCCAGTAGACAGAATAATGCATTCTGTGCTACGTCCTACCTGTTGGAAACTCGGTGAGCTTTGCCTGAAGAATTTTGCTCTCTCTGACTCATCCTCAAAGCTGTGGTTGCCCTGAAAACCTGTGACGAGGCAGTTATAATACTTCTGGTGATCATTTGAATATGACAAAATCACAGTTGGTGGAGGGAAGTAGATAAGAACTTACTTGTTCATTTTAATGTAATACCGATTAAAGAATAACTAAACAACTCTGCTTTCATTTCATTACACCTAATGTATTGAAGCCATTGGTGACCAGAAAGCATGAAATCTGCTTGGTCCAAACCAAGAAAGGGCTGTCTGTGTGGGCTCGGTGACATTCTGCATTGACCTAACCCAGCGAGCCAACCCTTGCTTTGCATCTCTTCCAAGTTGTCTCATGGAATCCAAATGCTGCTACCTCTGTCCATATTGCTGTGCTCTCAGCAGGCACTGCCCTCCCCGCTCCTCATTTTTGAGACAAGATAAGCAAAGAATGTTTTTAGCATCATTTTTGGCTGAAAGAATATCTGATTGTCCTAAGGATCCAGAGAAAAAGAAATAAGAGCCCCTGCAATATGCAGTAAGTACAGCACACGGAACGCCGACCGGAGGGACAGAGAGGGGCCGCATGGAGCCCACGCCCCGGGAGGAGCTCGGAAGCGCTGTACTACGGAAACCCGCGGGAGCCCTGTATTAAAAACTGACTGTGTGCCTGCGTTTCAATCAAATAGAATGCTGGACTCGGAAGACATTTGTCACATTCTTTCTAATGTTATTTCTATTAATTGTTTGTGCATATGAAATTTTCATTCAACTTAAAAATCCAAACATTTTTTCAACTTCTTGGAACAGATTCCTCCCGGTTATATTGCTAATTGTACTAATCAGCTCCTCTAGGATAAGTTCTGGCACACTACTCTCATTTTTTAATTACAGAGTATTTTTATTCCCACAGACCTTGTTTGGCAAATCCTAAAGAAAATCATTACAGGAGGGTTTTTGGTTTAATCTCCTTGGCCCAACTACATCATTAGTGCATCTCATTATAAATGGAAGACCTGAGCTCCAGGCAGCCCTCAGGCACCGAAAGTTCTCTGGGTCCAAGGCTGACCCCTCGCTTCTTCCTCTAAACCTGGCTGGCTCTCCTTCATTTTCCACTACTTTTTTAGTTGAATTATACGTGTAGCTCCTATTATTTCTTTCTGAGAAATTTCAAAAAGGAGAGATTACAGTGGACATTGGTATACCCTTCACTTACATGCATCTAGTCGTTAACATTCCTTTAATTACTAACATTTCCATATCTTCTATCTCTGTAAATATACATTCATATTGATGAACCATTTCAAACATCATAAAACTTTCAAATATTTTTATCAATTGTCCCCAAAATGTTTATGGATTTGTTTTCAATCCAGGATCCAATTAAGAACCACATATTGCCATTTAGTTGTCATTCTCTTTAGTTAATGGATTAGAGTTCGTGTGTGTGTGTGTGTGTGTGTGTGTGTGTGTGTGTGTTTTATTTCCTTCATGACACTGTCTTAAAAAGTTAGTTCTGGTTTGTTTGCAGACTGTCCCACCATCTGGAATTTTTTTTTTCTTTTTCTTCCCTCATTATTAGATTCAGGATAAACTTTTTTTTTTTTTAGCAAGACTGTTACATATGTGATGTTGTCTGGAAGCATATCAGTTGTCTCATGACATCAAGCGCAGTTTAGGTGTTATCTGTCAGATTCACTCGTTATAATGTTCCATAATTCATTATGAAACTCTGAAACTCCGTGCACATACGTTTTGTAGAATGTGAGGCCATGCACATGTGCATTCCTTTCTCACTATTCTCAGAGAGAACCAGGTTCTCCAAAAGATTGCAACCGCTGAAGTTAGAAGATATAGCAGTGATGACAGATTCATTTCTTTCCACTTAACAGAGGTGAAGGGAAGCCAGAATGTTCCCTGTGCAGGCAATACACAAATATTCTGGCTAATGGGGAGTTGTATGGTCTCTGTAACCAGAGCTGAAATATATACATAATGTCCTTTTCTCCCACCCACTATGACCCCTCATGCAGACCCATGTTTATTTTAGAGAGCATTCATTTTCATTGAAAAGCATGCATTTTGTGCCCAGCAGCACAAAATTGGGATGGTATAGATATTACACAGGGAGAAAGTACATACACAGTTATGAAGTATATATGTGGTATGAAAATTTCATAGGGATAGGGAATGATTTTGATTAAATGTCTAAAAATGTTTCTTAGGAGGATAATGATGAAAAGAAAGTCAGTTGGGAAATACTCATGTAGAGTCATTTTCTGCTTCCAGGGTGGTTAATTTTCTCTTCCTAGGGTGTTCTCTCATTTCTTAGGGTCAGGATGAATGAGAGCAAATTTGAGAGATTTATTAATCCACTCCTTCTACCCTCCCAGACTGTATCAGTAACATTCCAGGTGGAAAACCAATTCTGCTCTTAAAGATCATCAGGCATAGAAATTCTACAGTGTCCTTTTGTGTAACATGCTGAACACTTTACACCATCTGAAATTCTTCCATTCAACCTAAGCCAAACTATCGTCTTTGTGTTTCAGCTCACCTTTTTAGAATCCCATATTTAAAAAGGACCCAAAGACTATGTAGTATAAGTAAAAATATAATAAATGAGAGCTTTATTTGCATACCCATTAAATATTTTAAGACCAATACCAATTGCCCTTCAGCCTTTTTCCCTTTAACATTCTCCAATTGACAAAATTCCCTTGGAAGTCTTGTTGCCCCCATACTAACCTTTCTGTAGCTCAACCTTAAACCTTGTCAAACCTCTCCATGTCACTGTGCATTAGGATGTGACTAGAAGTGAACATGGAGAAAATTATTGCAAGTTTTCTACAAACTATACTGTGTCTTTGCTAAATCCCGTCTTGACTTTTATACATTCATAAATGTTTTGTTATATTTTCCCACATTAAATTCATATCTATATTATATTCAACCATTTTGCTTCATCTTGACTTTCCTTCCTACTTTTAACAGTTCTCATAAGATCACACTGCGTTGTTTGCTTTAAATGCCTCTTTAATTAGCAGAGTATTAAGAGACTTGGATAGAGTTCTTCTCAGCTTTTTGTGGTGATTTATGCCAATTCATCATCCTGCTCATGGACAGAAGCACAGCACTTCCTGTGGTCTCTAACCTTTCATCGCAGCCACAGCCCTTGGGCATCACACTGTGAGAAAAGAAATATAGGAAAACCTAGCCACATTGTAGAGAAATATGTACAAAGGCAAAGTCTTAAAAAGAGTCAGGTGTGTCACTTGAATAACACTGTTGTTATTGGTTCTTGGATAATTTTGGTCCTTGATGAAGTAGGTGATTCTCTCTTAGAATTAGCCAAACAAAGTGTGTTTTGGAAATAATAAATTTTTCCTGCTTTAAAAAGTATATCAACAACAACAACAAAACAAACCCTTTTTATAACAGGCTGTTGTCCTCTGGGCAGTTATTAATTCTGGGTAAGAAGTTTTCAATGAGTAAATAAGAATTTTTGTAACTTTTAGAGGAAAGAGTCCAGTTCTAGTCTGACAATTAAGCTGTTTTACTAGCTTTTAGTGTTCTAATTTCAAAGCTTTCTGGTATCTTTTCTAACTGCATCAGAAAAACATGATCATCATATTTTAGATCCATTTGTGATTAAATTAAGAGTTTGACTATAAGAACATACTAACACAATTAAATCAATTAGAAAAGCAAGATGAAACTAAAGGATATTTATGAAATTGATTCTGTATGAGTTTAAGAATCCAAATATCACAAATAAAGGACACATAACCATTATCTCTTCTGTCTTTTTCTGTTGTGTGCTCAATTTATTTCTTCATCTTGCAGTGGTCCTGGAACAGCAAAAACTGATACGAGCGAAAGAAACTCACTTCCTGTTCTGGCCAAGTGTTTCAGTTGGTTGGAGTGTGGTCCCTTAAACCAAGAGGTTGCGGGTTCGATCCCCAGGTGGGGTACATACAGAAGGCAACTAATCGATGTTTCTCTTTCATAACAATCTCTCTCTCTCTCTCTCTCTCTTTTTCTCTCTTTCTCTCTCCTTCTCCTTTCTCTCTCAAATCAATTAAGAAAAAAAAAAAAGAAAGAAACTTACTTCCCATAGAAGTTAAGCTGATCATTAAATCTATCTACTCATTCAATTATCCTAAATTCTCAGCTCCGCTTCCAAGCAAACTTCATTGCCATGTTGACCAAAATTATAAAGAAATGTCATTGAAAAGCAATGGTAGTGTCATTTGCTATAACAATAATATATCTTACCTGATTTTTTCTTCATTTTGGAATAGATTTTAGCAGAATACAGTGTTTTGACTGAAATTTGTTATTTTAATGCATTGTTCATCATCTAAGTTTTCATCATGGCAAAAACCAAGCAAAAATTTCCAGTATTTAATAAGTTAATAACTATATGAGGAAATTCCATTCAATCTAGCTAAACTTTTATTGAGTTTATAACTGTATTACTGCATACTTGATTAAGCTGAACATCTGCCTCAGAGGAAATCATATCATATGATTGAGACATGACCTCACATATTATCAGATCAACAAAGAATAAGAGTCTAAGCATTTTCAAGAAATATATAGAACATAGAGGGAAAAGGTAGCAAAGAATCTTATGTTTATTAACTTAGAAACATTATAGGTAACTATTCTCCATGGTTGTGCATCTGTATGTCTATATAATGGGTATTTGGGATTGCTACAAACAACATGCTGACTGACTCCCACAAGAGGTAGCAGCATTTAGAAAATCATAAATTGTGACTTTTCTATTTGTCTAAAAGCTAACTATTTGACTAAGGCTTGTCTTCATCAGAAGTATAATCACATGGAGGTACAACAGGGACCTTTGGCCCACACGAGTCTGGTTATGGAAGCCTTGGGGAAGATGCTGAGGCTTTTGAACCTTGGCTGGAAACAAGGAGCTGGGCTGCCAACCCCTGCTCCATCTGTGGATGAGAACATAGTCCCTTCTCTGCTCAGAACCCTGCAATGCTACTCTTTATACTCAGATTCAAAGCCTAAGCTCCCCATTTTTCTTTCTGTTCCACCCCCAGCACCCTCACTGCCTCCTGGCTGGCCTCATACACACTAGGCACACTCACGTTTATGGCCTTTACATTGGATGTTCCCCTGACTGGATGTTCTTCCCCCAGCTAGCCTCTTGGTTAATTTCTTCTAATCCTTGAAGCCTTTGCTCAAATGACACCTTCTTTATAAGATCTCTTCTAATTGCACCTGCCCAAAAGGACCCACAGTCCCCCTTTCTTTGCTCAAATTTTCTTTTTTCCTAGCACTTATGTAATTTGTTTACTTATTAGGCTATTGTTTATTGTCTATCTCTTTCCACTAGAAATATAAACTCCATGATATTGAAGATCTCTGTCTATTTTATTGATGTATCCCTAACATCTGGAAGAGAATGTCTAGTAATAGATGCTCAATAAACCTGTGATAAAAGAACAAATGATTCAATAGCCAATAGGTACCTAATTAAGGTTTGCTATCAGAGAGAGGTTAATTAAATGCAATATATGATAATAGTATCAATTTCATGATACACTAAAAGCATACATTTATTGAGTATGTACTGAAGATTACATGCACTATAAGCATTTTACATGAATAATCTCATTTAATGCTCATGACAACCCCATGACGTTGGTTATCTATGTTTATCCCCATTTTATGGCCAATGTTATGTAATTTGCCCAAGGTCATAAGCAAGAAAGTGATGGAGCTGGATTTAACACCACAGGTAGGCTCAAGAACCCATGCTTTTAGCTGTGGAAATCACCTTTACCCAGCAGGCACTGGGCTTTCTTTTCAATAAGGTCTCTTTTCAATTGTTTCTCTTTCTATGGACATGGGCTCATGTGGTGTAGCAATCAGCTTTTAGTTTCTTCTCTGGATATTTGTTAATGCGCTTGCATTAGTGCTTCTATGATCAGTCCACCTAAGATCATAAAGTATTTCTGTTTACAAGATGTTCATTCACAAATACAAAGTGGACTGTGGGCCAGAGATTAGGTGGGAGAGTGGCTCTAACAGGAGAAACCAAGAAGGTCAGCATGACTCGTGTTGAGTTCTGCTGAGTGTGCGAGGGTGATGCCAATGGCCAAGGTGGGGCTCTTGGGCAGGAAGGAGACAGGAAGACAACCTCAAAGTCCAGGAGGATTCACCCAGGGTCGGGGCAGGGTATCCTTATGAGCAACTGAAAGGATACATAAGAAATTTTTAGGTCTTGTTTTTTTGCTGTGAAGTGAAAAAAACAAACATGCATTTTATTTATCCTCATAGAAAAAACAAGCAGACTTTTAAGAATTAATAAGCAGCACCCAAAGAAGATCTTAGCATTTGATAAGAGGTTTGTGGAACTATCACCATTAATTTTTCACTTATTTTCCTTCTCTGATAAAGAAATTAACTGGCATTAACTCTTCAGCCATAATATAAAATATGTAAGTTCATGAACAATTAGAAATATGCAACTGTGAGGCTAGAGCCATGTGCAGCTGTGAACTTCATTAACGCATACATTCTGTAAGCTAAATTTAGAAATGAACAAGAATCACATTGAATTTTAAAAGCAGCATCTCTTCACCCCCCCTGACTTGTGCAGCTTCCTTTCAGGTCACCAGGAGTTTGCAGACCATAAACACTCTCCAGTTGCTGGTTCCATCGCAAGACCTCTCATATGTCGGGAGGTAATGCCAGTCTATGTTTTAAGGTAGATGAATTAAATATGCTGTCATGAAGTTAGTGACTCTTACCTTCCCATTTTCAGAGCTCCATGGATATTGTCCATGAAATGATTGAACTACAGAATGTAGGAGAAAGCATTTTGTTAAAAAAGGAGTAGTTAAAAGCATTATTGTGTTGTTGTTTTTTTTAATAGTAAACCATTAGATGCAGCAACTATTAAACCATGGAAGTTAAAGAAAATATATTCAAAACACAAGCCCCATTTCATACTCCCAGGAACAATTTTTAGCACATTCCCACCCTTAGCACAAGGTTATGCAGATAACATAAGGTATAGCTTTGATATTAAGTACTGGCAGAACATTATCTGGAAATTGAATTCAACAAAACTCTGTGAGCTTATGGGTTTGAAATAAAGGAAATAAAAAAAATTGCAAATCAAGGAAATTCCTAAGAGCTACAAACTGGTTATTGCCATGTTCTCTGTTTTTATTCAGAAGAAAGATGGTGCTGCCCTTGGGCTCATGACATTTAATTGGAATTTGCATTATCTGTCCTAAGTCACTGCAAAAAGTTTTGTGATTTGGATACAGAAATGGGAAAGAAAGGTTCTCAGGGTCCACATCCATTGCCAAGAGGAAAGGAAGATAAATGAGGTAATTTTCAAACATCTATCCTCTGCTGCTCCCAGATTCTGAGTTACTGTATTGGAAAGGACTAAAAGGTGGGCCTACCAAGTGCTTGTGAGGGAAATAGGAAGGCTTTTATGGGGAAAGAATAGCTGGGAATTTATTTACTGAGAATTTACTTTGTGCTAAGCACTGTGCTTGGTATTGGGTTGGCCAAAAATTTCATTGGTTTTTTCCAGAAGAGGGCTATAGTAGTGCTTAGTTGTCTTTAACTTCATTTGAAACAATTTTTTTAGGTTGTATTGTGACAGCTGTCATATCAGTGTACATTTTTAAAAAACCTTATCCAAATTGGTGAATTTTTGTGTAGCCATTTTAGTATTGAACAAGGAAGAAAATATGCAAAATTTTTGGCATATTATGCTTTATTATGTCAAGAAAGGTAAAAACACAACGGAAACTCAAAAAAAAGTTTGTGCATTGTATGGAGAAGGTGCTGTGACTGATTAAACATGTCAAAAGTGGTTTGCAAAGTTGTGTGCTGGAGATTTCTCACTGGACAATGTTCCACGGTTGGGTAGACCAGCTGAAGCTGATAGCGATCAAGTCAAGACATTAACTGAGAAAAATCAACATCATACCACACAAGAGATAGCCAACATACTCAATAAAGTTATTGGTGCAAATGAAAAATGTGCCCTTTATTTTATGGGAAAAAACCATATGGACTTTTGGGCTAACCCAATACTTGACCTATGTTCTACCATCCCACTTTCACAACTGCTTGTTGAGGTGAGTATGGGTGGCAGTGACTGTTCTGTAATCTGTTGCAAATGCAAAGGCAGTGTGCCGGCCTTTAAACTAGGGACAGTGGTGAGCTCATTCTCTAAGTCTCTGCTCTCATTCAGTGCTAGGCATCATGCCAAATGCTTTACTTGGGTTATCTGAATTAATCTTGACCACAATCTTATGAGGTAAATACCATTGTTATTATTTCCACTTCACAAATGAGGAAATTGAGGTGTAGACACAAAAGTCTTATTCAAGGTCATGCAGCTGGTTTGCGGTGGAGCTGGGACTCGAACCCATGCATTCTGCCTCCAGAGCCCCTGCTCTTAATGACTATGTTATGTCCCCTTTGACACACATACTTTGTTTATTAAAATATTATTCCTCCTTTTAGACTGTTCACCTGCTACTCTAATAACAAAATGTTATTCACTATGAGGATCATAAAATTAGTTTCCCCTGGAAAGTCCAAAGGAATCTTGGGAAGCAATGATGAGGAAGTTGCACAAGATGAAATGAACATTTCCTTCACAATATAGAGAGGGTGAGTCTGATGATAATACCGCTGAAAGCTAAGCTCATCAAATCAGTGGATCAGAGGGGAGGAAACATGTGGGCCTGCTGCCCCTGTGCAAGTGTTGCTAAGCAGGC